TTCAAGGCATACTCTCATTAGTCCTGAATGCTAGAGCGGAGCTCTCCCTTTTCTACCGGGCAGACTCCGATGCAGCAGTCATGGCTATGGAAAAATTGGGGAAATAAACTGGGAATCTGTGCAAGTACGTCAATACTGAAATAATAAAAGGTTTGACACGGAAAGAGAAGGGCAACTGCTTAAAATGGTGAGATCTCCAAAAGAGCAGAAGCAATCCTATTTATACATGGAAGAAACGACGACGATCCGCCTGTCTCAAAGTCAAGTAGGTACACTGACCAATGTCATCTTCGCCAGTCCCGAGGTGGTACCCAACCTTGAGGACCTCCATCAGAAAAAGATTAGGCTTCAGGGAGGCAATAACACCTTCGCCAGTTCCAAGGTGGTACCCAATCTCGAGGACTTTTATTAGGGAGAAGTTAGGCTCTAGGAAGCCGAAAGCACCTTCGCCAGTCCTGAGGTGGTACCCGACCTCGAGGACCTTCATCAGCGAGAAGTTAGGGTCTAAAAGGGCAACGACATCATCACCAGTCCCGAGGTGGTGCCCGACCTCGAGGACCTCCATCAAAAAAAAGTTAGGCTCCAAGAAAATAAATACTCAGGCTTTACACGTATGGGCTTGCCCCCGGGACACCATCTGAGATCGGACAAACCCTCTTTCAAGATCTATCTACAGCGCCTTAAGGCTATTTACACTAAGCTCAAAGCAAGTTTCCAGGTGGTCCGGATTTGAACGAACCTCCACTTGGGGACTGCCCTTGAAAGATCAAAGGTAGTCCCTATCCACAGGCCTCCGAGCAAATTTCTCCTCAAATTTTACCGTAGAGCCTAAGTGATAAATCACGGTTTCAAGGTTCGAATCATTACTTTTATTCGACTCGAATTAAGGGGCCCGATGATCCGAGCTTATCGGTCCAATTCAGGCTTGACCCAAGGGATGAAGAAGGGTTTCACGGAAGGTCATTTTAGTCAATCAAAGGTCGAGAAAAACATCCGCATATGGGTTTGACATTGACAGTAGCCGATAGAATCATGCATTCAGAGTCTCCACAAACGCAAATAAAAGGAAATATAGCAAACATCGAAGACAAAACTGGGAAAACATTTTTATAATTAGAAAACACTTGATTACAAGATCCCTCGAGGGGTCCTTGCATATGATTACAAAAGCCCATGAGGGGTCCTTACATAGAAACAAAAAAGCAAAGAAGGTACATATGCAAGAGAAGCCTAGAGTCTAATCAATTCTCGAGCGTCATCCCCTCGGGTATGCGTCCTAAGCGACAGTATCTTCTNGGGGGGGGGGGGTCGTCTCGGTCTTCCAAAGTAATGTCTTCAATGGAGAAGATGCAGAGGTGGAAAGTGGAGAAGTAGCAGGAGATGAAAAAATGCCATAGCCCACCAAAGGACGAGGGCCCTCATCGGCCAAGAGAACCTCGGACCAGTAAGAGACTTGGCGAGCGTCGGCCTTACTTGCATGGCTACTTTGAATCCACTTCTTGGGACATTGAGCCATGCAAGCTAACGATCGGGGGTGAAGTACCACACCAAACTGGGGTATAAAGGCGAGCAGCGGTGTATAATCGAGCACACTTATGAGCAGCGGTGTATAGTCCTTCCCAAGATGGAAGAGATCAGCCTACTTATCTCATAGTCTCGAGCCAACAACAACAGCGACGAGATAGTATAATCTCGCTTAATGAAAGAAAGCTCAGGCGAAGGGCCATAGACCCCAAACATGGTAGGTAGCAATGTAGGAGAATAATGGGAAGAAAGGAATAAAAAGATGTTAAAAAGCACTTGGATAAAAAGATAATACCGGAAGGCCCCATTTATAGGGGATGATAATATGGCCAACAATGCCAACAATGCCTTTGAAAGATGGATCGACAGGTGCAATCAATGCATTATTGGATATCGAGTCGACGACGGTACTGTCACTTTGAAGAATGGGAATCGACAGCGCATTTAATGACACTAAAAAGACAAGTCCATGAGACGCCCTAGTTATCGCAAAGGCTTACGTCACAAGTTGATGCCATCAGTATGATGCCATCATAGGAAGCTCGAAGAGTTAGATGTCAAAATAGTTTCTTGTCACTTCTCTCTAAGAAACACGGGGACTATCTGTATACGGAAAAATTAGAGAGGCCAATTTCTCGTTGTTAAGGCATCTCAGAAAATCACCTCAAAGGTTCGAGACCACAAACCGAGTACCCTCCCTCGAGGCTCGTTGACACTCGAACTAAGGATAACGACGACCTCGGCGATGGTAGGAATGTGAAGCTCCCTAGGCGTACGGTTAGGACTGACAAAGCCTAGTGGACTAGTCTAAGACCCGAATTAGGGTGTCATCTAGTTGTCACATCTCCGTATCTTTGTAATTAATGCTTGTTCTACTATGATAGGATTCCCTTCCTATATAAATAGGATCCTTGTCACCTTGTAAGGGGTTACTGTTGCTCCAATTGCTCCATACGAAATATACAAGAACATTCTCTTTCGCCTCTAACATATTCTTTTGATATTATTGCTTTCATTTATTATCTTCATATTTGTTCATCATTTATTGCTTATCATTCACCATAAAGAGCCTCCATTAATTCTATTATAACTGTTAGCCGTATTTCGAACCCCCTTGATAGCTCTCTGCCGAGCTCCGGAATCGACCTTGAGGCCCTGAATCAGCAAGCTCGACGCCTCGATAATTGGCCCAACGGTTTGATTATCGCCCTATCCTTAACTATTATTTCATTTCTAAGTCTTACATACATAGCATCAACTGCTTAACAAACCAACATAAAAATAGATCACGTATTTTTAGCGTCCCATAATCAAATTTAGTTGTTATTACCATTTTCACGGTAAACAAAGACTTCAACGCGAAGCTCTTCAAATTCAAGCCAAATCTTCAACTTGCAAAGCTCTCTAAATTTGAGCAAAGTCTTCAAGTTTCAAAGCTCACCAAAATCGAGCAAAGGCAAGTTGCAATGATCTTCAAATTAGAGAAAAGACTTCAAGTTGTGAAGCTCTTCAAATGGAGCAAAGTCTTCAAGATGCAAAGCTCTTCAAATTAAGTAAGTCTTCAAGATGTAAAGCTATTCAAATTTGAGCAAAGTCTTCAAGTTGCTATACTCCTTGTCTGCACGAGTATAAACTGCATACAAAAAAAAACTTATACTTCTTTTGAACTACGTAATGACTTGATCCTCTTTGCGGAGGTACGTAGGTTACTTAAAATTTTGTTCGAAGTTCATTCACATAATTTTTTTTAAAAAAAATCTACTTTGTCACGATGACAAAGAAAAGCTGACGATGCTCTCTCGAGGCTACAAAAATGGAGCATTATATGTATCATTTCATGGAGTTGTGAAAAGAATATTTTATGCACTTCTTCTCCAATATGCAAGAAGAGCTTGTTCTACTCTAATGCTTGAAGAATGGAATGCTCCATAAAATTCTTCTCCAAATTACAAGAAGACGGTGTTCTATGCTAAAGCTTGGAGGTTAGGACACTTCATGGATTTCTTCATCAAGTTACAAGAAGGGGTTGTTCTACATCAAAACTTGAAGCATAGGATTCCCCATGGACTTATCCAAACTGAACGAAGAATTGGTTCAACACCAAATCATGAAGGTTGAGTCACTCCGTGAAATTCATCGCCACAAGGATGAAGGATGGGATGCGCCACGTGTTCACCTACCAGGATGGTTTATGGTCTCTCCAAACCTCCTTCTCGCCAAGTTGCAAGGAGGAGATGCATCATGTGTGTTTTTATCAAGCCTCAAGGAGGAGACGTGAAATATACTTCTTCGAGGAAGGTGGCATACCAACTAGTATCTCGCCGGAGTCACGCAATTGTAAAGAAGAGACACCAAGTGGTTCCCCACCAATAAGAGACAGGTTGTGCTTATTTATAAACATGCAGGATAAGAAAAAGAAGTGCACCCCACAATGTTGGCAATGCAACGCTTCAATACGGATGGTGATCATTGTGACGTACACTTCTCTACTGAATCTTGAAGGATGGAATACTCCACAGATTGTTCCATCAAAGCTTGAAAAATAGGAAGCTCCATGAACTTCTTCACCAAGTTGAAAGAAGGGGTTATTCCATATCAGATCATGAAGGATAGAACACTCCATGTACTTCTTCACCAAGTTGCAAGAAGGGGTTGTTCGTGCCAAAGCTTGAAGGATGAGATGCTCATGAACTTCTTCACCAAGTTGGAAGAAGGAGTTATCCCACGCAGCTTGAAGGTGAGGGATGCCCCACAGACTTTCTAGCCAAAGGTTACAAACAGAAGTTCTCCATGTAATTTTGACACCAAACCACAAGGATGAGGAGGCACCAACCTTTCTCTCGCCAAACATGCAAAAAAGAAAAAGAAGTATGCTGCCCTAATACTCCTCCCAATTTTGGCCTTTGATTCAAAGATTTACTCTAACTGGATCAAAGAGGGTGGAGCATTGAGCTTTGTATATATTGTATCTATCATAGCCTTCTTTTTAATGGCACAAACGACACTTGATTTGGACGCTCCTATCTCGATATATGACGTTTTCACCGAGAGTGCACAAAGTAGTGAGATCAGCAGGCCAAATGCATTGATCAACTTCAGAAATTAATTCCATCCGATCCTGAAGGTGTTTCGGGGTGAAATTTTGATATGTTGTAGTCCTTTGAGTCTAGAATCAGTACAATCAAGAGGCTTGCGATTTTGACGTTCCTAGAGGAAGATACTAATTGTTTGGTGAAGGCGCACAAAGCTGAAGGAGCCAGCTACTCATTTCCTAGCTTCTAACAAATATCTGAGAAGATATATGGATAGCTGATTTTAATTTTTACATATGTCCTAGTTCTAGAAGTCTAGTTTTTGGAACCAAAAATAGCTCATGATTTCAACATTCCTACACCAAGATATGAATTTTTTGATGAAGGTGCACAAAGCTGTAAAGTCGAGCGCGGCAACATCTGAGACGAAAATTCAAAAGAATACATGAGAAGCTAGAGAAGGAATTTAGCCCCAAAATTTTGATATGATGAAGTATTTGAAGTGTAGTTTCAAAAGGATCAAACGGCTTGTAGTATGATTCTCCTACAACAAGATATGGTTGTTTTCTCTACAGATTCGCAAAGATGGCCATCCTGGACAGCTTCTGCAGCAAAAGAGAAAAGGTTCTGGAGCCCTCGGTGACTACAGCACGAAGCTTTTGGTCCTATTTAATTTATCGGTATCAACGACATGGATCTTTAATTCAGCAGCAAGTACCGGTGTCAATGACAGGGCGCTCTAATATAGATGGTGAACATTGTGACATGCACTTCTCCACCAAATCTTGAAGGAAGTAATGCTCCAAAGATTATTCCATCAAAGCCGTGAACTTCTTCGTTAAGTTTCAAGAAGTCATCCATGCCAAGACTCAATGGATAGAAAGTTCCATGCACCTCTTCGCCTACAAAAAAAAAAAAAAAAAAAAAAAAAAAAATAAAGAAAGAAAGATTGCGTTGATCATGTAATTCTTCACGTGATCTGCCACAGAGAACTCGCCATGGACTTTCTCGCCAAAGGCTGCAAAGAGAGGTCCTTCATATACCTTTGTCGCCAAAGTCACAAGGATGGGGACGCCCAAATCTTTCTCTTGCCGAAGCTGCAAAACAACGAGGATATGCTGCCCAAGTCACAATGTTTGAGCACAATGTGCAGATTGTAGTGTCGACTTCGAATAATTGTGCGGGTCGTTCCAGAGTGTACTGAGCTTCAATCTTTGGAGTGAATATAGGTCCTGAAACCTGGTTTTTACAGGATCAAGTGGATTACAATTCTGACACTCCTATCTCGAGATATGAATTTTTCGACGAGAGTATGCAAAGCTGGATGAACTGGCATGTCGAAACTTGTTTCTTGAATTCTGATAAATATCTGGGAAGATCTAGGGATAATCTTATTGTGATCCTCATACATATCGTAGCTCTGAAAGTCTAGCTTCTGTCAAAGCAAACCGCTCGTGATTTCGATGTCCCTAAATCAAGACATGAATTTTTCGGTGAAGACGCACAAAGCTAGAAATCGAGCATGGCAGAATCTGAAGTGAATATTTAAGAATTTATTTGAGACAGTGTAGAGCGAATTTTGATTCAAACCTTTGATATATTGCAGAACTTTGTGTCCAGTTTTTGGAAAATCTAACGGCTCGCAATTTTGACGCTCCTACAATGAGATAGGAATTGTTTTCCACAGACGTGCAAAGCTGGAGGTCCCGAACAACTTCTGCAATAAAGAAGAAAAGTGTCAGTTTGAAACATTATTTTGCAACCATAGCAATTAAATTACACACTCCCCTTCATGAGGCAATGGCTAGCAGTCATAGGAAGTGTATATTCCTCTTGTACAATCATTGAAGTTGATGGTTTACAAAAAGAATAAGAAAAGAAAGCCATTGCTCACGTAGGAAAGAAAGAGGCCAAAAGCGATAAGTAATCTTCTCAAGCTAAACTCTTGCCCACGGAAAAATAAAATCGGAGGAAGCATTGATGAAGAATTCTTGGGGAACACTTCTATTTATAGCTTTTTCAAGGAGGTTGTGCTCTCTTGACCTACAAGAATTTTCCTTTCAAGGAAAGAATAATTCCTTGTTGATCAGGATTTGGGAAGCCTTAGAAGTAATAAAAATGAATATGAGGCAATTATGGATCGGGAAAGAGAAGTGTTCTTGGTTCAAAAAAGTACAGGAGAATTCCTACCAAGTTTGCTACTCTTTACTTGGTCCTACATAAAATGGGTTTGACTTAATAAATTTAAGTTCATCTCTTTGTTTTCATAAAAGGCAAGTCAGCCATGTTTATTACTGATGCTTAGTTTCACATTGATGGTTAATTCACATAGCAAGTAAGCAGTCAAGATGCAACATGGTTATCATGGTATTTACTTATGTAGATGGCGCAACTAAATTCTTCTCTGGAATGAAGAACGAAACAAGATGGTTCACTTTGATACGTCAGACTGTTTGGTTAAGTGATTCAGAAAAGGACATTATTTTCCTCGGTGCTTCAAATCTCTTCTTTGACTTCGACAAGCCTACACTCCGACAAGCCTTGAAGCAGGGGGCATTTGTAGACAATTAAAATTTTACTAAATTTAAATCCATAAGAAATTTAGATTTTATCATAAATTAAATATATACTAATCAAAATAAATATTATGGGCTAATATGATCGGGTCAATTATTTAAATCTAATGAAATTGATTTAGATAAAAGCCCAATATTCTATTTGGTTAGCACATAGTTGGTCTTCTATCAAATGGGTCGGCCCATGAGCTTCAAGCCCAATGGCCCACTAAGGTTTTCTTGGAGATTACTCCATCCCCGCCCCCCCACCCCACCTTTATAAAAGGGTCAAAGGAGAAGGTTAAGATAAGCAAGTAAGCAGAAGAAAAGGCAAAAGAAGCTATGAAGAATAGCATCAAGGTTTCCATCCATATCTGCAATCGTCGTGTGTGATCAAATTCCAAAGGCGAACTCAAATCATAGGCGGACAACTTTAAATCTTCCGTTCGTGATAATCCAACACCAAATCCTGGTTCGTGACGACCTTCAAATTGTTCGTGACTTACTACAAATCTGAATTTCGTCAAGTTCAAGATCAAGCTCTCAAGCTCTTGAACCATCGTCCATGAGGAGAAGAATCAAAGAACTAATTCTCTTAAGATTTTAGAGACTTTCTAGAGATTTTAACCCCATCACTTGAAATAGAATATATAATATTTGTCGCTATATTTCTTGTTTTGATTATTATTTTTCAGGAGCGAAATTTAGTTGTTATATTTGGCACGTGAGTTGTCCGTGCGTTCATGATTAGAGATGTGATTACAAGTTGCCGTGAGCATATGGTTTGTGGGTTGAGACCCATGACTTGTGATTATGAGATGAGGTATCTCGGAGTAATTTCGTTGCGAAATCTGTGTTAAAAAAACTTGATTAAATGGTTGTTATTTGTCTTCCCTATTTGGTTTCACTAGTACTTTCACGGTGTTATTATTACTTGCTGTTTATATTACATGTTTATTCTTGTTTCCATTTTCTAATTCTTGCTTTAATTATTAGATTTATACTTCTATGCTATACAAGTTATTTTGACTAGTAGGTGTCTTGACTTTTACCTCATCACTACTCCAGCGAGGTTAGTCTTGATAGGTAGTGCAGATAGAGATATTGGCGATATCGGACTCAGGCAGAGTTAGTTTATTTATCGCAAGAATTCAAGGTAGAGAGCTACTTGATCGTCATAGTTTGTTGGATTCGTTTCCTTTAATTGTACTGTCAGCTTGTTATTTAAACAATATAGTATTCCGATCTTTTATATCTTTCCTCGTATTCAACTAGAGTTTGTGACTCTGTATTATCTATTATTGGTAGATTGTTATGATTATTTCCTCTTAGACTTATTTCACTTTTGTTTTGGTATTCATATTAAACTCTATTTTAAACTATTATGGTTTAACTGACCTAATTATTGTAAGTAATTGTCTTACCTTGTCTTAGAGATTAGGTGTCATCATAACACATGTGGTAAAATTTTAGGCCATGATAAAGAATGCCAACAACAACAACAACAACAATATATCATTATAGTCTCACAAGTGAGGTCTAAGAAGGGTAGTGTACACGTATGCAAACCTTACCCCTACTTTGTGAAAGTAGAAAGACTATATCTGATAAATCCTCAGCTCAACAAAAGTATAATTACAACAGTTTAGAAAGAAAATATTTGATCGAAAATAACAAAGCATCATGTGGAAGCTAATAAAGCAAATCTTGATAACGATAAAGCAGACTTCAAAGAAAATATACTAAGCAACCTTTCATGTGTTAAACTTGATTCTAAAAATCTTGAATCAAGCAAAACTGATCTTGAAGGACATATCAAGAATCTTAAAAACCAAGTCCTTGAACTCACTTCTCATAATGAGCAGCAAACTTCTGCTAATGGGAATGGAATAATGAGTGATCTGCAAAATAATCCTGAAAAGGATCTGAAAGAGCTCAAAAATAGTTTGTGTAATGCTGACTGTAGGAATAAAGTGCTACAAGAGAACCTAAAAGTCAAAGTTATAGACATAGATCTTCTGATGCATTGAGTTGGCTAAATAAAAATTGCAGCAATAAATCAGGAATTGGATATAAGAAACTTGTACCTAGGTTTGATCCTAAGTATATAGGAATCTTTGACAATAAGATGTGCACTCACTGTGGGAAGGTGGGACATTTCTGAGACAATTCGCTGCCTTAATTCATGCTTAGTTCAAAAATACTTTTAGATTACTTAAACATGTGTCAATAGAATAAAAACACTCCTTTTGTTCAAGCTAAGTGGATTAAGGTCAATAAGAAAAGGACAATTAATACTCTTCCCAGTTGGGCAAAAAGAGATTTGATTCATCCTTTTTAAAACAAAAAAAGACCCATGTTTGTCTAGGTTCCCAAGACTAATCTGTGATTTATATTGCAAGCTATAGTGGGAGGAAGCAATCAAGATTGGTACCTAGACAGTGGATGCTCAAGACATATGAGTGGTAAAAAGAAGAATTTTCTCTCACCGACAACCTTCAAAGGATGGAATGTGCCCCTTCAAAATGGTAAGAAAGGACAAATAATAGATATTGGTAAAATTGGTAAATCACTCTCTCATGCTATAGAAGATGTATACTATGTAGTGGGACTCAAGCATAATATCCTCAATATTTGTCAAATGTGTGATAAAGGTAATGTTCAACAATTTTTACTATCACTAAGCTGGATACTAATGAAATTGTTCTAAAAGGCAAGAGACATAACAATGTCTACTGGATATCTATTATGTCTCTTCCTCAAAATGAACATACACGCTAATGTAGGAGATGATCCACTACTGTTGCATAGAATTCTAGGACATGCCAGTCTGTCTCAACTCAACAAGCTGGCAATAAAGAACATGGTCCTTGGGTTACCAAAAGTCAAGTTTGCATCTTTGTATACGCCAAAATCGGGGAGTTCGACTTTGGGGTTAATGTGGCACTCCACGTCCGACCTCGAGAAGCTCGAAGAAGAATTTGAAGTGCGACCCCTAGGTGCGTCCCTCAAAGGAGCATATAGAAGGTTCACTGTGGTCAATCTCGGAGCAGTATAGATAGATAATCATCATGGAAAGACGGGAAAGCTCCCAAGGATACGTGGTTAGAGCTGACCGGGTCTGCAAAAATAGTACAAATCCATACTGAGCCACTATACAGCTGTACCAATAGCATTTCCTCGTCATTATTAGACATGTACTATGTTGGGATACCCCCTTCCTATATAAAGGGGACCCTTCTCATTTTGTAACACACATGAATATTGAATATAATAGAACATTTTCTGCTTTTCTCACACTCAATTCTGTCTTTCAACTCTATTATTTGCCACTCATTATTCTTTATTTATTGTTCTTCATTTACTGCTATTATCGGACCCAAGGTCCCTGATTCTGTCGAGTTCGAGACTCCAGTCCTTCAACAACATTGGTTTGGCTATCTTATTCTCTTTATTTACACTTAGCATCTATTGCCGAACAACTAGTATTGAAATAAATCACATATTTTTAGAACCACAAAATCAGGTATAATTGTTAAAACCTTTTTCAAGGTAAACAGTTTGGCGCCCACCTTGGGGCTAAAAATAATAGTGATTGTTTTGGTGCTAGTTTTCTAAGAACAGAAGTCATTCTTCAGCATTTTTCTTGTCCAAGAATCTTTGATTTCAATTCAAAAAATGTCTAACTCAACAAATGCGCACGAAAACAATAGTATTGGGCTTCATGTAGAGAGCGGTGCAAATGCTGGTGTACCACCGCAAAACCATGGGGTGACACCAGCACAAATCCTCATCGACATGGGCTCACGCAAAGCTGCACATATCGATGTGAGCTCTCATATCAACGGAAGTGTGTGCGGGGAAAACTAACATGAAGCATAGGGGACTCCAGCTCAGGAGGAAAGAGAAGTTAGCCTTCAAGTCGTTTTTGAGATGTTACAAACGCAACAAGTGGCTATTGCTCAGTTACAAAGTCAACAAAAACTCTAAGCACATCAGCACTAGAAACAACTCCTCAGGTCGAGCAGGCACCAGAGAGATCGAGTAACAACGGGTTAGCAGTAGACCCCACTATTATAAAGATGCTCGAGGAGCTCACCAGAAGGATTGAATCAGGAGAAAAGAAGATAGAGGCTAACGATAAAAAGGTGGAGATCAAATCCCGGGTGCACCCCCGATTCTGAAGGGTGTAGATTCAAAGAAGTTCGTGCGCATCAAGTGTGGCTCTGAAGACCATCCCAAAGAAATTTAGAATGCCCGATATCCCGAAATATAACGGGACCACAGACCCCAATGAGCACATTACCGCTTATACTTGTGCTGTAAAAGGGAATGACTTAAAGGATGACAGGATTGAATCCGTCTTGCTGAAGAAATTCGGAGAACACTGTCAAATGGGGCCATGGCGCGACATCACAACCTACCCCCGAACTCGATAGATTCATTTGCCATGTTGGTAGATTCTTTTCTGAA